ATTTCAATTGCCCCTTACTGTTGACATCAAACCCCATACATTCCCTCTGTTTGACCCTTATAAGATTAATTCTTTCTTTCTCAGGCATTCTCTCCTCCAGCCTGTGGTATAGGCAATCACAAAGGCAGCAGTGGATTAATGGACAGGAGATTGTGAAAGCCTTGTTTCTCTGCCCCTAAGGATCTACCACCTTGGCCGAGATTTTCCATAAAGTCTCTGCTTTCTTGTAGTACGTTACATGTGAATATAGATAGTATGTGCATATGTGCTGTAGTTATTCATATGTAACGTAGATACATCGTTGAAAAAGGTATTAATGTCTGTCAAGTTCCACTATCTTGTGGTTAGCAAACTACTAAATAGTACATTTTCCCCCCGGCATACCCACTTAAGAGCCCTTAGAGTACTGACAAAGTATGCTTGATGACGTCAGATGCTACGCAAAGTTTTTAAAATGGTGTAAGAGCACAGGATAGGAAACTGCAAGGTTTCAGGGATTTAACAAAACTGAATGGCAGAATACCAATCTTGTATGCTCTTTTAAACCAAGTGATAAAATTAGATTAAAAGTGGAAGCATGCAGATTGTAGTACATGTCGCAGTTGGACAAGCATCAGCGCTCCAATTACATTCTTTTTACAGAGTGCATTTCAGGAGGAAACTGGTAATTATTGAAACCTAGAGTAAAGGAATCTGGTCTAGAAGAGACATTATACAAGTGAAGTAAGGATTCCCAGCAGGATGCGAGAGGTATAGACAACAATTGTAGGGAATCTAGGGTAGGCCTGTGGCTCTGTTGTACCAGCACAGAGATTTCAGCGTTACCAGAAAAATGTTGTTCTTCAAGGCAACACCCACCTTGGACATATGACCGTGGAACTAGCCCATACGCCTAGCAAAGAGAGCAGTCTTAGTGTACAGTGCGAAATTAAGGAGAAATCCAGACCCAAACATAAATGGGAGGCTTTTATGTTTGGGTCTGGAATAAATCCTAACACTCAACCGGTTATGAACCAAAATAAATTTGATAGTGTGTAGTAGGGATGTCTCGATACCACTTTTTCAAGACCCAGTACAAGTACTTCCCCTCATGTACTTGCCGATACCAATTACCAATACTTTTCTTAAAGGGACAGGTGACTTTAAATGATCCATAGTACAACTACATGTTATGTACTATGGATCATGATTTAACCTATTCATGTTAGCAGGGCAGAATTGTAAATCTATTGCTGTAGTGTAGTGGAGGTGTGTGCTGTATAAATGTACTACATATACAGTACACATGTCCAGTACACTATAGTAATAGATTTACAGCCAGCCCTGTCCCAGCTTCCCTCACTCACAGTTTCACTCCGATCCCTGTTGCCTCATGCTGTGCCTCTTGTAGTCGGCGCTGGGCAGGATAGCTGCATTGCGTCTCGGTGCTCAGCTTGTGGGAGGCACTCACAACTCTGCCCTGCTAACATGAATAGGTTAAATCATGATCCATAGTACATATACACAGTACACACATCCAGTACACTGCAGTAATAGAGTTACAATTATCTGCTGCTAACATGAATAGGTTAAATCATGATCCATAGTACATAATATGTACATAACATGTAGTTGTACTATGGATCATTTAACCTGTTCATATTAGCAGGGGATCATTGTAAATCTATTGCTGCAGTGAATTGGGAATGTGTACAGTACATGTACAGTACATATAGAGTACACTGCAGCAATAGATTTAATAGAATTCTCCTCTGCTAACATGAATGGGTTAAATGATCCGTAGTACAACTAAATGTTATGTACTATGGATCATTTAACCTATTCATATTAGCAGAGGGTAATTGTAAATCTATTGGCTCCAGTGTACTAGTAGTGTGTACTCTATATGTACTACATACTACACTACAATAGGGACCCCCCTTGCCCTCACTCACTGCTCACGCTGTGCGGGAGAACAGCGACGAGTCAGCGCTGGTCCGGTGGAAGGAGCTCCAGGTGGGGTCCTAATTTAGCTGGCCGGCGACTGCCCAGAGGTGCCGGCCAGCTAAATTAGGACCCCACCTGGAGCTCCTCCCACCGGACCAGCGCTGACTCGCAGCTGCTCTCCGGCACTGAAGGACGTCGTCGGCGCTGAGCTGAAGAGGAGCGTTGCGTCACTGCTGCTCCGGTGGGCGGCGCTCCGAGTGGGGTCCTCTAGGCAGTCGCCACCTAAATTAGGACCCCCATCTTGAGCGACGCCCACCGGAGCAGCAGTGATGCAACACTCGGCAAGGTCAGTAAAGAAAAGAAGAAAAAAAAACAGAGCAAGCTTCGGCGCTATTTATCGGGGCATTTTGACAAGTACAAGTACAAGTACTTGTCAAAATGCCCTGTATCGGTCCCGATACCGATGCTTGTATCGGTATCGGGACATCCTAGTGCGTAGCAAAGTTTGTGAAAGAAAGAGCCAGGCAAGGATATCTGAAACTTATAAAGGATACGTGTGAAGATGTCAATTTTTAATTTTTAGGACATTGACCCTCCCAAGCCAAGATAGTTGGAGGGAGTTTAGCAGGAACATTTTATACTATTTTAGATTATAATATTGGATTTACTAAACTAAACTTTGCTTAGCTGTAAATTGTCTATATATTACACAACACTTTACTTGGGGCATCGACCCATACACATCAATCCCTGCCCCAAAAAATTATCTCATTTTTTAATTATACACATACACTCTCCTATCAATATGACTGGGAAGAAGTGGGGTAGAACATACAAACTTCATGCAGAAAGTCCCCCGGATTTGATTCTTGGAACCTAACGCTTCAATGAAAGAGTGCTAACTATTTAGCAACTATGGTATATTCAGTTAGCCAGTATAAAGAGCACCTATATTTTCACTTTCCTTATTCTGTTACTTCCCAAACAAAGTGCAATTCTCATGAGACTTTGCATCTAATGCCAGTCTAGTGTCAGTAAGGTTATAATACCAACAGTGTCAGCTTCCTATAAATAGCTCTCTTGGCCATTTTTGTATTGCAGTTGGGTTAAATACATTTAAATGCATTGTGTTTCCTCTGACATTAGGGCAGTGCTGAAATCAGCACTGCAGCTCATCTTATTGATATCAAACCACTAATTATCAAGCAATGGCAAATATGCTATAAGGACAAAAGGCCCCATAGCATGATGGTACCATGTGATGAGTCTGAGCAGGCAACTCGAGTTCCTCAAGAGATTTGCACCAGAGTCCTGACGTCAACCCTACTGCATACTCATGGGGTGAAATAGATGCCATTTGCGAGCCAGGTCACCCAACATTAATTATTGGCCTCACAAATGCTCTCTTGGCTAAATAGGCAAAAAATTGCCAAAGACCCACTCCCGGAAGAGTGAAGATTGTTAGAGCTGCAATGGGGGGGGCTGGGTAACTGTATATTAATGCTAGGGCTGGGGAAATTAACAATTAATTCCTCGATTAATCGTTAAACTTTTTGATCGATTACAATTCTTTTGATCGAAAATGAAAAGACTCACCTCTCCGCCGGCTTCCGGGAGTCCCGTCGGAGATTGACATTACCGGACTCCTCCCCCTTCTCTTTGTTCGCTGACGGAGCCACTTGGGCCAGTGGGTTTGCCCAAGAAGCACCAAGCTTCTGTCTTATCTTAAACTTATATATATGCACTATGTGGCTCTCCATTAACCCCCCCCCCCATCTCGCTCCCAGAAATGTGCCCATTGAAATTTACTGATATTATGTTGCAATCAGGTCCTTACATGAAATGGAATGGACAGGTGCTGCTACTTCAAATATTAAGCTAATACTTATGTTTAAATAATCTTTAGGGCTTTGCTGTTTTACTATACTATGTAAATACATTTGTAATCCAGCACGTTATAAAAAAATGATCAAAGAGGCTAAAACTGTCGTAATTGCTTTGATAAATTCCCCCCACTGTAATTTTATGTTGTATTTGTTAGTCATAACATTGCTGATGCTTGTGAGGGATTTACTAATATTATCAATGAATAATATTGAGGCCAACAGCAGTGCATTTTTCCCCAATAGATATACATCCAAGGAATTGAAACAGGCAGACATTTTACACAAGTTTTATTATAATACTGGAAGATTTTCAGTACTGCATAGAGTCCACTTAAAGGTAATGTATAGTTTTTTCAATAATTTTTAAATATGCATGCAGATAGATGAGTTTATTGTAAATAATGTTGTATTGCGGATTACATGTGCAGGCTCGGCTTTTTGCTTTGCAGTGCTACAAAATAGTTCTGCTTTACTGATCCTTCTCAGAATGCAAGTATGAGTTGATAGAAAATATACTATACTTTCCCTACTAAATGGGCTAGCTGTTAAGCTTATGAAAAGGTAAAATAATAATAGTAAAAAAATATGCAGTGCATTTTTGCAATGCATGCATATTTCCCTGTGTTTTACTCCTTAAAAGACCCTACAGGTACAGAAAAATATATGTTGATCTGTCTGTAATGCACTCATTTTCCAAGCCCTGTGGACTGACAACACAAAGCATATTTGTGGACTGAGTGGTGTCATCTCTACCAGCTGTCTTTTGCTAAACTACTCAACCACTCTCACTCTCATATCTCTACAACATAAAGCTGAATTATTCTGCAGTCCAAGAGAAGAACTGTGCAGAGGACACAGAACAGCTCTGAATTTCTGACAATATCAACAGTTTTTTTGCACTTATCAAACATATAACAAAACACTTTCAATGTTATATTTAACAGACCAAAACGGAGCAAATTAGAGAGGTTAATTGTTAGGATTTACATACACTTTAACTACCCTGCAAAGATCAATTGCAAGCTTTTCAATAAACAATAGCAGTTGGTAAATATTAGTATAGAGTGTGAACATTCTTTGGAATATAGTTTATTTCTTCATTTTCCTTGGAATGTCTTTTCATCTGCTGAACCTCATCTGATGAACTTTGTGATAATTACTGTTTAGCTGTTTGTGATTGAGGACAACTCACTATAGCCCCTCACTGACAATGCAAGTGATGTAAACACTGTGCTTGCCATATTTCAGTCTGCAGAACTTTTGGAAAGGAAAAATATCACAACACTGAATGTGAGCAGGAATTCGTGTAGCTTGGAAGAGGGTCTTTAGAAGTCTTGACTGAAGTGATAGATATTTTGGAACTTTTCCGCAACCTGTGTCTCACCTTGTCTCGAAATTCTTCAGATACATAATAATATACAAATGGATCCACACAGCTGTTAATGGCGCTTAGCGTTAAACAGACCATGTAGACGGCATATAGGTTTCCATAACTTTGCAGACAGTGCTCAGAGTAATGAATTAAAAGAACCACGTTGCTGGGTGTCAAAAAGACGATCACTATCATCAGAACCAAGACACTCAGTTTTACAGCATAGGCATATTTTTCTCCACTCGATATCAGTGATTGAATAACAGAGATGTAACAGAATATTATGATCAACAGAGGTAAAGCAAAGCAGAGAACAATGGTTGTCATAAAATAATAAACCAGATACTCCACTTGCTCTTGCCTGGGAAGAGCATCATGGCACACTGTAATGTCGGCATTAAGTAAAGGATAGGACTGTTGCATTGTAGCCAACGGTATTGTACATAAAACAGAGATTAGCCAGGAAATTGAGCATACAGCAATGGCAAAAGACTGACTTCTAAATGTTCTAGAGAAGAAAGGATGGACCACAGCCAAGTAGCGGTCTATACTGATGCTCATAAGTAGAAGAACTGAACAATACATGTTTCCATAAAATAAACTAGTAACAGCCCTGCACATTAGCTCTCCAAAGATCCAGTCATTTCCCATGAAGTAGTAAAGTATCTTAAAGGGCAGCACCAGGATGAGCAGGAGGTCTGCCACTGCTAGATTCATTAAGAAGACGGTAGAGGTCATCTTCTTGACTTTGGTCATCAAAACCCATAAAGCAAGGCCATTGGCTGGTAATCCCACCAGAAACACTAAAGTATAGATAAAGGGTATAACCAGGACAGTGATGGGACTTTTCAGAAAATCCATGGATGTTGTTGAAATTGACAAAAATGTATTGTTTAGTTCCCCACGGAATGATCGTGGAAACAATATATTCTCACAAGTATTTGAGTCATTCCGTTCTTCTTCATTTGAGTAATCTGTAAAGAGATAAAAGATAAATAGACAGATGACAACAATATGAAACACAATTACTGTCTAGAGAATTTTTTTCCATATTTCTGTTGGCTATCGTGATGAATTCTCACTCAAGATCATAGTGCATCCAGTGTCACTTTGTATACTGTGCCAAGTTTTTAAGGAGTTCAAAGTCTTGGCTGGTTTTCTTTAGTAAGCAGCCACATCCTGAGTAGAAAAACCTGTTCCCTGCCAGCATGCTGCAGAGGACTCTCACTCGCTGTGGGAAAGCGGTGGTCTCTTTGCAGAGGTCCAACACACCTCCAGCTGAGTCAAACCTACAGCTCTGCAATCAGCAAAGCTCATGCACTCTGCTCCAACCATTTTTTTTACATTACAAGCTATTTATACACTGATATGGATTCAGGCTCTTGACAGATAATGTTTTATTAATGTTGTTTATATTAATAATTGTGCATTGATTGCTATTGTGCATTAAATGGAGCTAAAATTCTGCAACAAAAAATTGTTAGGAGTTAAGAGTTTTTTGGGGTGGAAGAGACATGCCCTTTTCTCGCATGTTCCATGCAATGTTTTATCTTCTATGTACACTGCACAGTGCATGCGCCATGAAGTGTACACATCCGGCCTATTCCCAGCATCTGTATATTCCCCAGTGTCACATCATTATTGAACTTCCAGTGACTGGAGGAGGAGCTAGGCAGGACCTGGAAGAAGTGGCATGGAAGATAGCGGCAATGAGGGACAAAGCAATGACACTTTCTAGTACACCCTCCTTCAGCGATGCCAATCCCAGACTGGCTTGGCATCGCTGAAGGAGGGTGTACTAGAAAGTGTGCCACAATGTGCACTTATGGTGTGCATACTTGCTCACTATGGCAAAAACCCACCCAGCAAGCATTAGTTCTGATTTTAAGTGGACCTGAATGGAAAAAATGACTATGGTATCGACAAAATCTAGAAATGTTTTCTAGTGTTTTTTCTAGTGTTTGTAAATCCAAAATCTGTTTGTCTCAGATCATGTCACCCTGTATACATTTTCTGAAGTATTTTTTTGGCAAATCTATTGCAAAGTTTCCATTTTAGAGATCCTGGCAAAAACTGCAGTTCCTGTTGCAGGGTGACGACTCTAAGCCACTGCATTGTAATTAGAAGCAGAAAAGGTGGCCTGTCACATGTGTTCCTTCAGTGGGCTGTTAGGATGCCTATCAGGTCTATTGGATAAGCAGCCCAATGGCCAACTGAAGGAGCGCACAGGGCAGGCTAACAACATGCTGCCAATTGCAACGCAGTGGCTTAGCATCAGCAAAAGGCAACAGGATACGCTAATAATAGTTGGAAACTGTAGAACGGTAAGAAAATGGAAAATTGTATCATACTTACCAGTAATTTTCCTTTCCTGGTGCCTGTCCATGGCATCATACAAACGATAAGCTCCGCCCCTTATCCCCACCCACAGGACCAGTAACAATCTATAAAAAAGAGAGATAGAGACTCCCCCTGCATTCTTGTAACCATGCGTCGACAAACAGGGTGGGTAGTATGCTGCCATGGACAGGTACCAGGAAAGGAAAATTACTGGTAAGTATGATACAATTTTCCATTTTCCTGGTGCCTTTCATGGCAGCATACAAACGATAAATAAGGGTGGGCAAAAGCGACGCCAAAGAAGACACTCCATCCAGCAAAAGACGCCTGGACAGACCGTCTCCCAGAGTCCACTGCTGGCAGAAGGCCTGGGGAAAGCCCGTAATGCCCAATGCAATGGGTTCGATCTGAACCCTGGCTCGCGCAGCCCACGAGGTTGCCACTTCCCACTTTGAATGAGCCCACACCACATCCGGTGGCTGCCCACACAGCAGCCAAAAAGCTCTCTTTTAGTCTGTACTTACCCGTTCGGTGGTCCCCTACCTTAAAGCGGATGGCGGCAGGCCCGGATTTCCCACAAGGCCACCGAGGCCTGGCCTCGGGGCGGCAGTGGTGTCCTTGTGGGAAAGTTGCGGGCGAAGCCGATTGTTTGTTTACATGTCATCTCGCCGCTGTAGCCGAGATGACATGTAAAAAGTCTGCAGCCGGCTGGTCCGTCCTCCCCTCCCCGCCCCACCCCCCCTGCACTTACCTCTCTCCTCTGGTTCCGTCCTCCGGCGCCGAGTCTCTCCTCACTGCAGGTAGCAGAGCGGCAGGGTTAAAAGTAACCCTGCCGCTCCGTGTAGACAGTGAGAGGGGAGAGCTGTCACAGGAGTTCCAGCACAGTGCTGTGCTAGAACTTCTGTATTGGAGGTGACAGGGTCAATAAGGAGAACCTGTCACCTCCAATTGCTATCACACAGGGTCTTGTTATATCCTGTGTGATAGCAATAAAGTTAGGTGAAAACATTTTTTTTATTGATTTAAAAAAATGTTTTAAATAAATAAAAATACAAAAAATAATATGAAATAATGAAATAAAAAAATTAAAAGGTGATTAAAAAGTAAAAAATAATAAGAAACAAATTATTAAAAAATAAGAAAATAATGATAAAAAATAAACAATAATAAGATAAAAAATGCATTGCGGAACCTGGCCTTGGGGCGGCAGGGAGAGTAAATCCGGCCCTGGATGGCGGTTCTTGCAATCATGGTGAACGGCTCATGCTGAAGGAAGGAAGGAAGCAACTATCAGGCAGGGATCTGCAGGGAAGGCTGTACACATCAGCAGGACAAACTCCAGAAATATGTGACAGCAAAAGACAAGAGCCAGGCCCGGTGTGATAATATATCAACCTGCCATCTCTGATAGATCTCAAATGCAGATACACAGGTCAGTGGTATGAGCAGGTAATGTGGTATGTGCAAGTAATGGGTTTGAGTCCTGTATTACATCATACAGCCAAACAATGAAGTCACTGAGGAAATGCGTGCAATGCAAGTAATGGTTTGGAGATCTGTATTACATCATGTAGGAGTATAGTCACAGTGGCAATGATGATGCATAGAACGCAGGTAAGGGTATGAGACCTGTATTACATCATACAGGAGTACAATACAGTCACTGTGGTAATGTTGATGCGTAGAACGCAGGTAAGGATATGAGACCTGTATGCCATCATACAGGAGCACACTGTAGTCACTCACAGAATAAAAGTCTTGAAAACATAATTAAATAGTAGTACTTGTGGTCAGTAGAGTCGTCCCAGACTAGTTGTAAGAGTACTTGTACACAGACTCAGCTGCAGGGAAGTCCGTTCAGAGCTGTATCTGGAGGCCAAGCACAGGGCAAGTAGGAAGCAGCTGCAAGTTGATTAAAAAGGAGTGGTTGCTGCTGCAGTGTTGGTTTATCCAGAGAGCTCAGAGGAAGCTGTAACAAGGTTAAAGGTGCCCATACACTTTAAAACCATCGCATTGTATTGTAATATTTTGTCATTATGTCTCTCCGTGTCAGGGTTTGCTGCGTCACGCCCAATTGGAGCGTGACACGGTTTAAACCCCCACTAGGAGCAAACAATTGGAGTAGATATCCTATGCGTGGCGGAGCAGTGTCTTCTTGGCGAATGTATGGACGCCGGCTAGGGCCTCCGTGCAATGCATGAATTTATTGGCTTGCGTGGATGCATTTGTTTTGAACACAGTATATGAAAGTGTAGCCCCTATATCAGGGCTCAAAATTTCCACTCGCCCCCTCGCAATTGGCGAGTGAAAATTGCGTGGGGGCGAGTGCGCACACCGGCCTCCCGAGCACCGTTCAAACCAGCCTAAAATCGTACGATTCTCGGCTGGTTTTCTAACATGCTCCTTAGACAAAAGACGTGCGACCGTACAGTAGAAACGGTCGCACGTCTTCGTTCACACTGTTCGATTCTCGTACGATCGCAGGATTTCCCGCGATTCTCGCACGGGAATCGAGCAGTGTTTGGGCACCTTCAAGGTGCCCATGCACCTGACGATTATCGTACAATAATCGCGGGTGATCCCGCAAAGTACGATAATCGGCAGGTGTAAGGGCAGCATGTGGCCGCATCTACTGTATGGTCGCACGACATTCGTCTTCCAAGCAAGCTGGAAAACCTGCCAAAAATCATACGATTTTTGGCAGGTTTGTGGCATGCTCAGAAGACGAAAGCAGCACGGGCTGGTGTGCGCAAGCGCACACTGCCCGCTCAGCATTACAATCATCAGCAAGCCCTCCCCTTGCAATGATCACAAGTACGATCTGCCTGTCCAAGATGGGCAGATCGTACAACATTTTAATTACCTTACAACCATCGCACAACGAAAGTCGTGCAATGGTTGTAAGGTGTATGGCCAGCTTGACACTGAACAGTGCTGACAGATAGCTGCAGCTACTGTGTTGCAGAGTGCCTTAGCCTGCTGCTTAATATCCTTTCGTTTGATTGTTGGGTATACTATTGCCATAGTTGCTTTCATATGTTGTGTTATGATTAAATCTGCTATAAAACTGTTCAAAGGTGTGTTGGTGTGCTGTGGATCCACATTTGGGCGGTACATTGGTGTAGGGGGATAGAAACACCCGGTTATTCAGCGGCTCCTTCGGGGGTGAGCGCTACAAAGGAACGTGCGTTTGTTGTCTCTAGTGCACCTGATCAACAGCTGGAGATAATATGACGTTGTCCCTGTAAATAAGCACGCATGAGAATCATGGTAACGTTCTTGGGCATTGATCACTGAGCAATGCAGGATAAGGTTCTCTCCAGTGGTAATTGGAGATGATATGTTGATATGTAGTGAGGAAGTGATGTTGGTTGTTGACATCACTTCCTGTTTGAAATCACTTCCTGGTTTGCTATGTGAGACATCACTACCTGTCTGACATCACTTCCTGTCAGGGAGCTATAAAAATAAACAAATACATGTGCTGAGGCTCTAAGAATGGAACTAGCAAGCAAGCAACACCTGTCTCCTGTGTATTTTGTGCGAGGACTGGAAGTACCCTTTCAGAGTCATGTAGAGTTAGGACACAGGAGACAGGTGTTGCTTGCTTGCTAGTTCCATTCTTAGAGCCTCAGCGCAGGTTTATTTTTATAGCTCCCCGACAGGAAGTGATGTCAGACAGGAAGTGATGTCTCACACAGCAAACCAGGAAGTGATTTCAAACAGGAAGTGATGTCAACAACCAACATCACTTCCTCACTACATATCAACATATCATCTCCAATTACCACTGGAGAGAACCTTATCCAGCATTGCTCAGTGATCAATGCCCAGTAATGTTACCATGATTCTCATGCGTGCTTATTTACAGGGACAACGTCATATCTCCAGCTGTTGATCAGGCGCACTAGAGACAACAAACGCACGTTCCTTTCATATACTGCGGTCAAAACAAATGCATCCACGCAAGCCAATAAATCCATGCATTGCACAGGGGCCCTAGCCGGCGTCCATACATTCGCCAAGAAGACACTGCTCCGCCACGCATAAGATATCTACCCCAATGGTTTACTCTTAGTTGGGATTTAAACCGGGTTACGCTCCAATTGGGCGTGACGCAGCAAACCCTGACACGGAGAGACATAATGACAAAATATTACAATACACTAAAAACACATCCTAATAAAATTTCCACAACACCCAGAGGTAGGGATGACATGACTGGTCGCAGATAGAGACGCAAGGACAAAAAAGAGAATGCAAGGGGAGTCTCTCTCTCTCTTTTTTATAGATTGTTACTGGTCCTGTGGGTGGGGATAAGGGGCAGAGCTTATCATTTGTATGCTGCCATGAAAGGCACCAGGAAAACTGTATAGCAGTGGTGGTCAACTTGAAAATGATGGAGAACCTGAAGTGTGGCCCCTGACACTTTGAGGGGGCCCACACAATAGCAGTACATATATGTGTTGAGGTGTATCAAGTTAGGCAGCCAAAAAAAATTGACTGTAAAGCATCTCAATGTTTAGATTTTTGTTCTTGAGGAAGGATATCTCTCCCCGAAAGTGTGGGGATTAGAAAGTGTGGGGAATAGAAATAGAAGAGCAGAGGAGAAGAGGGACAAGAAGGGGGTAGGAAGTGGTTGGTATTTTGGGCTGGTGGCCCTAGGTGGAGTTACTACCCCATTTAGACATCAATAATAATGGGACGTGTGGTCAATAACAACAACAACTTGTCATTACCTTATTTATGGCTCTGAGAAGTTATATGACTGAATGCACAGAGCTGCAATGAAAGTCAATAGTGGAAAGTAGGGACGTGTGCTCTGGCGAGGCAGGTGAGGCAGAGCCATTATGGAAGAAAAAGCTGTCAGATCAGGTCATGAGTCGTCCTGGTTTCCGCCCTGTATCCTAGGAAAAGTTACTGGATTGTATGCCCACAGGCTCTGCTTAAGTGTCTTGCGACTTAGAGTCCCTGTGTTTGTTAAATAGAGGAACCCAGAAAAGGAAACTCTGCTTGCCTCAGAGATAGGAGCACGCCCCCACAGACTGTGTGTGGTGAAGAGTAAGTCTTGCATTCATTGTACAGCCCTATAGCCACTTAGCATAGAGATTGCCTGGAGAGTCACCACCAGCCCTTACTCCATGGGACACAGGCTTTCCACCTCAGCCGGGTTAGCCCCCCCATATCAAAATTTTTTAACAAAACATATGCAGTTGGTTAGATCTTTGTTAGATCAGGTTAGATCTCTGTTGTTTGCGTTAGATCTCACACAGAAATAGAGATATTAACAGTTATTTTCAGGGGGGGCTAACCCGTCATCAGCCCACCCTTATCAAAAAATTGACCAAACAGTTAGCAGGCTTTCCACTTAGCTACAGGCAAGCATTTAATGTCCACGCTGACAGCTATAATTCACTAATGGATTCATACACCACTAAGGCTTTCTATGTGACATTAGTAAACATTAGGTGACCTCTGTCTGGATCAGAGTCTACTAACTAGGTTGCCAATTCTCTGCCAGTCCTTTATTGTCCCGTTCACCCGTGCAGAGATAAGTGGCAGTATAAGCAAGCTTTCACAATACAAGTCTATATGTGAGATTCAAAAGCAGAAAGCTCATGTTAAGAGGGTGGACCACAATATCACAAACTCTGACTTTAGCAATCAAGCCTAGAGACTACACTTATTCCAGGTAATATATAGCCCACATAGCCACTGGCAAACACTGGTATCACCCCTCATGTTACACTGAATCACCAGTTTGATTGCTCATTAATTTTTCTTTTTTGCATTAAATAACTGTTAGCTATCCTAAAACCTCCAGCGCCCCAGTACTGCACAATACTTTATCGAGATGTGCAGAACTTACAGCTAATTATATGGCAAAATCCACATAATTAATGCAGTTATGGCCTAAAAATGTTTAAGGTAGTTATAAATGCAGCTAGTTTAGGTACCAAAATGTGTCTTGATATTCATCACTAGTAATCCACTGTACAGTAGCACTCAGACTGGGAGAGGGAGGGCAAGTGTTAGCAGCCAATCAGTTTCTGTGGTATACATGTGTCAGGAGGAGAAAGCAGAGTGAGCAGAGGAATGACCCCATGAGTATGCTGCTGCCCCTTAATTTTCCAATTAGCAAACCAGGCTATCTTCTTTAAAAAGATGAGCTGCTGCAGCAGTGGAGGTTGAAGATACTGTATAATAATGCTCTCTGGCAACTATGCCTGGATCACAAGACTGGCTTCACAATATTCCAAATCCTTTAGCATGTAAACCTCTTCACATATATATTTCACCTCTATTAAGCTTGCTGCCTGGAGTGCACACAGTAACATAAATATTGTTGTTCTGCATTGTTCACTACTACTAATACAAAAATAAACACCAATGTTATACAAAATATAATCACTTAAAACTGAACTCTGTGCGCAAACATTTATTTAAATATACTCCTCAATAGTCACAAAGGATATAAATCCACTTTGTGTACACCAAATGCCATTGCAAACCCAATTATTACCCTGTAAATGCAGCAGTGACATCATCCCTGTGCTATACAGACCCTGTGCAGAGAGCCGAGCTGTGGGATGGACGCAGCAGGCTCCACCCACTACAGGCTGCCTGCAGAACACTACAGGAGGAGGCGGTGACAAGACCAGTCATCCTGTACAAGGAGAGAGAGCAGCAGTGACTGGTCTTTATTAAAGGAAGCTCCTGCACAGAGGAAACGTCTCACATTGGATTACTGCACAGATCTGGAAGAGATATATTAAGCACACCAAGATTCATCTAAGAACACACATTACTCTTAGCTTGAAACAATATTTGATTATCCCAGAGTTCAGCTTTAGGATAATTCTTTTATTGCTTATTAGATTTTTTTAAATAAAGGTATGTGCAGCCTCTGTGCAGGAGCTTCCTTTAATAAAGACCAGTCACTGCTGCTCTCTTTCCTTGTACAGGATGACTGGTCTTGTCACCGCCCCCTCCTGTAGTGTTCTGCAGGCAGCCTGTAGTGGGTGGAGCCTGCTGGGCCCTTCCCACATGTCGGCTCTCTGCACAGGGTCTGTATAGCACAGGGATGATGCCACTGCTGCATTTACAGGGTAATAATTGGGTTTGCAATGGCATTTGGTGCACACAAAGTGGATTTATATCCTTTGTGACTATTGAGGAATATATTTAAATAAATGTTTGCGAGTTCAGTTTTAAGTGATTATATTTTGTATAACATTGGTGTTTATTTTTGTATTAGTAGTAGTGAACAATGCAGAACAACAATATTTATGTTACTGTGTGCACTCCAGGCAGCAAGCTTAATAGAGGTGAAATATATATGTGAAGAGGTTTACATGCTAAAGGATTTGGAATATTGTGAAGCCAGTCTTGTGATCCAGGCATAGTTGTCAGAGAGCATTATTATACAGTACCTTCGACCTCCACTGCTGCAGCAGCTCATCTTTATAAAGAAGATAGCCTGGTTTGCTAATTGGAAAATTAAGGGGTAGCAGCCATGCAAATAGGAATATTGCGCAGTTACCCATAGCAACCATTCGGATTTCAGCTTTTGCCAATTTAGAGATTTCCACAAACTAAAATATAATGCTAACTGTATGCACTGCCCTTAGCACTAAAAACAGAATATTATTGCAGCCCACTCACTTATTTTGCATTCAATATTCCATAAATAAACAAACAGCACAACATATATCTATGTACAGCCTTAATAGACATTAAAGTATATCATGTTTGTAGCATAGATCGATTGTTTTCCACGATTCCACAGAACATTGGAGCACATTAGTTAGATTCATAGAATTTGGTTAGCACATGTTGTTTCCTTGAGATGAAGGAGATGAATATCCGCCTCTTATGCGTATAAGGAAATAGTCAGAAAAGGAAAACTGTCTGTTGTCTGCTGTATGTTAAATATGTGGCTAGACATCATACATACCATCATATTCCTGTGTGGCTAAAGACCTGAGCGATAAAGCGAGCAGCAGTATAGGGATGGAGAATGACCACGAGCAGCCTGTTGAGCCCATGATGTTCATGAACTGGTGAGAGCTAAAAAGCAAAGGATGTTGTGCTGATGATTACCCACTTCCTATCTCAGCAAACATACTGAAAGGATCCACAGAGGAAACATTGAATTAGATACAGGGGGAGGGTGAGAGAAGTCCATGAGGAACAAATGTGGAGAACTTCCTATTAGGGAGGTGAGTAGAGGGAGCTACAGAGGAACTTTAGAAACTGTAGTTTAGTCCTATGTCTTTTTTTCTTTCTGTTGAGAACACATTATGATAAATGTCTCTGTTTTCAGCTGTACATGTGTGGGCTGATCATTTTTTGATCTTGTTTTGTTTATATTCTTAAGAAAAAGATAAATATCAAAATGTTTTATGCTAAGAGAAGTTTAAACAAGCACAGTTTAAAAAGCACGCATTCCAGAAAGTCTGTTCCACAGAATATTCTGTAGTATTTGCTGCTGCTGCACTTCCATAAAGTATGGGCAAATCATAAAGTCTGTCCCCATCATCCAAAAACCGTGAGTAGCAAAACAACAGGACATAACTGTATGTTTAGGAAAACAGATCTGCTACGACTACCATGAGGCTGATGAATTTTTCAACTTCTGGTATATATTGTGTGTATTGTCTTGAATTTATGGTCTTTTAAAAGTTTGTAGTTGTATATGTGAATACAATCAGCTTAAATGTGAATGTAAAGGGACTTGGAAAAAAATAGGCGCCTGATTCTTACGGCTGACTAAACCATAGCCAACAATTGTACCCGAGTCAAACTATCTACTGATCCCCAAACACACAGGGGGGGAGCACTAGGGTTGTTGGGAGGCACTATTGGAAGAAACAGAAACATCTGGGATTTTGGGGAAGCACTAGGGTTGTTGGGGAGGCACAAGTTGAAGCACAAGAAACATTTGGGATGTCGGGGAAGCACTAGGTTTGTTGAGGAAGCAGTAGTGTAAGAACTATAAGTACTAGAGTTGTTGGGGAAGCACTAGGGTTGTTGGGCGACACTAGTGGAAGAAAAAAAAATATTTGGATTGTTGGGGAAGCACTAGGGTTGTTGGGAGGCACTAGTGGAAGAACAAGAAACATCTGGGATTTTGGGGAAGCACTAGGGTTGTTGGGAAGGCACAAGTGGAAGCACAAGAAACATTTGGGATGTTGGGGAAGCACTAGGGTTGTTGGGGAAGCAGTAGTGTAAGAACTAGAAGTACTAGAGTTGTTGGGGAAGCACTAGGGTTGTTAGGAGACACTAGTGGAAGAAAAAAAAAACATTTAGGTTGTTGGGGAAGCAATAGTTTAAAAACTAGAAGTAATAGAGTTGTTGGGGAAACACTAGGGTTGTTGGGGAAGCAGTAGTTTAAGATCTAGAAGTATTCGAGTTGTTGGGGAAGCACTAGGGTTGTTAGGAGACACTAGTAGAAGAAAGAAAACATTTGGGATTTTGGGAAAGCACTAGGGTTGTTGGAGAACCAGTAGTGTAAGACCTAGAAGTACTAGAGTTGTTGAGGAAGCACTAGTGAGAGCAATAGGGTTTCCACAATGCATTAGAAGTGGCTCTTTACAACAGTGGTTTAGTAAGAGACTTACAAAAACCGCAATGAAAATGTGTGTTGGAATGGCTGGGTTCACCAGGGAATGTTCAATCTTTTCAGATTTTTTTTTTAGATAAGGTCAGCTTAATGTCATTAATCTTACCATTGTTTTTACTTTAAACACCATGTTTCTGTTTATAAGTTGTAATTACAGAAAACAATTGAAGCAGACATTTTTGTTTATTATATGTACATGCTGCTTTGCAGTGCTACTCAACAGTTGCACTTTACTGCACATTCTCATAATACAAGTCCTTGCTGACTAAATGAAAACAGTTAATGGGAATGTATACTCTTTTAAAAAAAATGTTTTTAGATACGCTTGAGACCAGCTTGATGTAGATTTTTGTTTTTAAAAAATACTTGCGTTTTTGTTTAACAAAGCATGGAAGGGAAAGCATTAAAAATGTGAAAGTCATAAACAAAAGCAGTTACTTCAAACACTCTATACCTTCTGTTTAAGCAGGAAGCAGAGTTAAAGAGTGATAGTCCTGAGCCACTAATAGTTTCCTCTCAAATCTATAAGTCAGCTGACTCATTTAAAACAATCCACTCTCTATGTAGCTGAGTCCTTTTCTCAAAAGCTTTTCATAAATAAATAAATGTATTGTGCTCCCTCTAGTGGCTACTCAACACAACTCTACATCGAATACAATAACAAACATACTGTATAAAAGAGTAAGCATGTAAAAATATAAAAGTTATAAAAAAGATAAGTTTAAGGCAAATTCTGCAATAATATGGCATAACTGAAAATACACTATACTTATATATCTATAATACCTCTACTGACCTCACCCATGTATAGATATTAAGAAACTCGGTGGAACTTAAAGCGGAAACTATGGTCAAACTATTAAATCATATATATGATTTAGGCAGCCAATACCAGTAAGACTGGGCTCTGTTTTTCTAAGTACCCCCTGGAATATTTTTTTTATATCTGTTGGCCCTACCAGTAGAACCACTTAAACACTTCCTTTGATTCTCCAGTGAAATCACAGCAGAGTTGTCAAGTGAGCAGGAATTTGAAATTATAGTGTTGACCCCACGGGAGGTGAAATCTCCAATAAGGAGCACATGTTGCAAAGACAACTGTCAACGGAGGCATTTCCTCCTACTTCCTGTTGTGTCGTCTCTGGCATGAAAGGGGATTGATCCTTAAAGTGTTAAGGAGTTGCCTATGTGTTACTCAGGAGAAGGTCCTGTGTAATACATTTCAAGGATATTACTATACTTCAAACCCTTCCATGCCAAAAACGTTACAACATTTTAGATTGTAGGCCCTCCTTACCATCTTGTCTTGATTTGTATTGTGATTGTAATGTCTTCCTTATATTGTAAAGCACTGTGCAAACTGTTGGCGCTATATAAATCCTGTATAATAATAATAATAATAACAACATACTTTTCATACAGTGTAGCCATTTTTTTTTAGCAATTCTATTCAGAAGCACAGCTCGGTTATCTTCATTCAAATGTCATTAGGAGTCAAAATAATAATGTGCCTCATGCTTAAATGACCCTGGAGAAACTAAAGACTCACTAAAGATAATTTTGCTTAGTATGATGTAGGTTTCCTGTTTTTTTCTTTTCTTATTTAGCTATCCATTATCATGCCAGTGCACACATCCTACTAAGATAAGAGCATGAATCAGCTTGCTTTAATTTCTTTCTGTCTCTCTTTTTTCACTCTTACAAAAATCTCATGCTGCAAAATTGCTTAATTCCTATCAGCCTTACTATACATAATTATGCAATTATCCTAAACAACTTGTTTAAAGGGAAATTATAGCTTGAACTGCATTGTTTCCAGACAACACAGAAGTAACAGAACAACAGTTTTCATAAAGGAAAATACATTTACTTACACAGCAGGATCCAGTTTTTCATTGTTATTTGCACATTCAGCACCATTCCTGACTTAAGGTGGACCCACTCTTTAGGTTTCTCAGATCTGAAAATGATCTTTGGATCCCCATGTGCACTCTGGAGGAGTTTGGATCATGAATCTCAGGAAATCGTCTTTGAATCCATCCCTTTGTCTGGAGAATCGGGGACTGATCCTGGACACATATCAGGGCAAGGTTTTCAAAACAAGTTCACACCGACCACTATAGCTGCAGCCACTCTGGACAAGATAAGCACTGAATCATTTAGCTTGTTCTCTCATCAGCTAAGTTTCAACTGCTGCACCTCTCAGAGCACTTGCTTGTAGAAGGGGGAGCAGGGGAAACTGAGTTGAGAGAAGTGAAGAAGAAGCTTTTGCTGTAAACAGCAGAATTACTCCATAGTGTCTGCAGCTACGGAGGTCAGTGATGGCTTGTTTGAAAATTAATTTACCTGTTAAGAATATGTAAATACTTGAATGTCCATAGCCTGGCCACGTGTTCACTTTACACCCATCTAAAGCTATAGAAGCCACTTACACACTGGATCAGTACTAATTTATTGTAAATGTATGAAAGTGTGAGAAAGACTGTGAGAGTTTAGGCACACAAGAGGTATAAAAAGTTAGAGAGTAAATTTTGTTAACTTTTACATTTTTAGAAGAGAAGATTATGTAAGTTTTACTAGAAAACCCCTGTAAGGTTGATCAAACTATGACTTACTTTCTCTAGCAATTGAAATGATCTGGCCATCACTAGCATTAGCGAGGATGTGTATAGGTCAGGGCTAAAAATTTCCACTCGCCTCGTGGGAGCAGCTGCTCCTGCTGGGCTCTCCGTTCTTTCAGCCCCAGTTCTTCACTGAGCTCCGGGTCGAAAACGAAGTGATTAGTAAGGTCTGCAGCAGACCTTACTAATCACACTAGATCAGAAGGGATCTGCCTGCTCTCCTCCTCCCTGCAGAAAGACAAGCAGGTGAGGGGGCTTCATTGTTTTAATTTACATGGTGGGGGGGGGCAGGGGACAGGGGGGCTTCTTATTTTATGTGTATAAGAGGGTGAGTTGTGAGGGGCGGAGTTAAGGCCGGGGCAGGGTAGGGGTTAAGTGGGCAACTGGTGGCGAGTAACTCTTAAGGCCTGGCTAGTAGCTCAGGACTTGACATTTTGACCCCTGGTATAGGTGACAAACAGGCAACAAAAACTGAATGCAAACTATGCCATGTTGACATATGTATGTGATCCTGGAAAGGTTGCTCTCTGTTCCATACAGAATAGGATAGGGTCATGGACCTTGGTGTGAGCCTAAAGTGACAAGGAAGGCCTCCCTTTGCCGCTCTCATTTGAGCCGCACTGGAGATGAGACAGCAGCTGAGCAGACAGAGAAGGGCATGAGTGCCTGTGGCTGATATGAATGCTTGACATACCAGAGATGATGGCGCTGATGGTTGGATGACCCAGCCTGCTCCTGACATCGCTTCTGATTCCTGCTTCTGTACCGCGCTGACCGCACGTGGATGGCTGGATGCCAGAGGTAGCTGGTGGCAGATAGCAGATGAGGCAGTGCTGGTGTGAGCAGCTGAA